CTGAGGATTTTGATTATGCGGCTTATGAAGAATTCTTTTCCACCTATCTGGTGATACTCACTAGAAGAGCAATAAAATGGTCTAAACTTCTAAAGGGAAGCGGTAGTGTCCAGAAAAGCATGAGAGGTGAGTTTGGAACTTGGTCCACCACGCACTCAACCACCAGGTCACTGGCTGACAAATGCTCGGGGGAAGAGGGGTTCAGGATTCCTCAGGGACCCCTAATCCAGGGAGGCTGCCTTGAGCCTGGCATCTTTCCTAGGGATCCGGAGATTGGGAAATGGCAGGCAGGTGTGTGTCCTACGTAAGATCCAAGTTGAGGCTCCGAGCTTTGAATTCAGCTAGAACTTGCACTTTTAAGGTACAGGGGTGTTCTTTCTTTCCGTTGAGATGGGCCTGCTTGCTTTCCAGAAGAAAGTTGGTTTCCTGCTTCTCAAAATGAGATTGGCCAGGGCTCTCCGCTTGTCCATGCCTGTGACCAAGCCCTCCCTGCGTCCCTTACTGGACCCCTCCTCCCCTGTTCTGCCCAGGCCCCTTCCCTTCCTCTCTCTAGGCCTGGGGCCCCCTCCCTCAGGCCTCCTCTCCATTCCTCCAGCACCTGCCTCTCCTTGGGGTTCGTCCCCAGCCCCTCCCATCTTTTTCAGGTGCTGACTGGAATGCCACTTCCATGAGGCCTTCCGGAGCTCCTGTCTGGAAGGGCACTCCCCCATCACACCACACAGCCGCACACTTCACCCCTTTCCTGCTTATTTTCTCCTCGCCGTCTCATGCAGTGCAGAGCTGATTTATTTTATCATTTGTTTCCCCTGCTGGACTCCAAGATCCCTCTCTGCTGGCAGGGATTGGTCAGGGTAATTGCTTCAGTGTTTGAATGAATGAATGAATGAAGTGTTTCAGCGGTTCTCAACCTGTGGGTCGCGACCCCTGAAAATACATCCTGCATATCAGATATTTACATCACGATTCATAACAGTAGCAAAATTACAGTGATGAAGTAGCAACGAAAATAATTTTATGGTTGGGGGTCACCACAACATGAGGAACTGTATTAAAGGGCCGTGGCATTAGGAAGGTTGAGAACCACTGGTTTAGGTGGTAACTGCTGGGCAGGTGGAAGGGCGTTGGTAGGAGTGTGCCCCTTGGTAGGAGTTAAGAGAAGTCAGATAAATGGTGCAGAGAGGTGTGTAGGGGTTTCCTGAAATAGGACATGGATGACAATTAAGGCTGAGGAGGGGGTCAGAGGCAAGGGACAGAACTGTGTGACTAGAGTATTAGGGGTGTGTGTAGAAAGGGCCAGAGATGGAGCCAGGGGACCCTGCACGGGGCCCCATGTAGCCACACATCACCTGGACCTGGCAGACAGAAGCCAACTGTAAAAGGAATTATGAGCAAGGGGATGGAGAGATCAATTTCTGCTTTTAAAGCAGTTAGTGCATAGGGCCCAAAGTGGTCCCAGCACACAGTAGGCGCCTGGAAAGTATTTGTGGAGTTGACAGAGGGCTGGGTGTAAGCAGGTGGGTCTGGGAACTTGCTGCCCGGTAGGGCAGGGGTCAGGGGCTATCCCTAGACACTGGACAGCCCTCCCTCCTCCAGGCTATTACTGATGGGGGTGCTTAGTAAAAACTCAGGTAGCCCAGCCAGAATGGCTCATTTTTTTTTATTTTTTATTTTTTTTTTATCCTGTGCTCTAAAAGGTTGCTGGTTTGATTTCTAGTCATACCTGAGTTTCGGGTTCCATCTCTGGTTGGGGCACATATGGAAGGCAACTGATTTCTGTTTCTCTCTCACATCCATGGCTCTCTCACTCTCTCCCTCTCTCCTCTCTCTAAGCATGTCCTCAGGTGAGGATTAAAAAAAAAAAAAAAAAACTCAGGGAAACTATCATTTCATAAAACCAGCTGGAAGGGACCTTAAAGTTGGTCCTTTGTTGCTTTACAGAAAGCTAATAATATCCAATGTACCATGTACCATCCTACATGAAACATATGTCCATCCCTGCATGGGCCTTGTGTGTTAATGTGTTTCCAGCAGCACATCTGCCTTTCAACCAGCACATCTGCACATCAACCGAGGATATTTTTCCCATTGATTTTACAGAGAATGGAAGGGAGGATGAGGAGAGCGAGAGAGAGAGGGAGAGAGAGAGGGAGAGAGAGAGGTGAGAGGCACATCCATTGGTTGCCTCTCGAATGCGCCCTGACTAGGGAACAAACCTGCAACCCTCGTACATGCCCTTGATTGACCCTTGACTGGGAATCAAACCCGCAATCCTTAGGTGAGAAGGCCGAAGCTCTACCACTGAGCCACACTGGCCAGGGCTGCCTTTAGTTTTTCCTTTCGATTTATTTTTAAAAGTTGACTAGTCTTTTTGTTTTAAAAAGTGACATACAAGTATTCAAAAGTAAACATAATTTATCTGCATGGTAAAATGTCTTAACCATACTAAAAGATGTAAAGTGATGCTAAGTTTCTCTCCTGCCCCAGGCTCCATTCTCCTATAAAGGTGACCGATCATGGTGACTGTCCTTTCGTCTCCCCCAGGAAGGGGGTGCACACACATGCGCGTGTGCATGCACACATGTGTATACATGCAGCAGCCACACCATGGGGCTGCAGTTTGCTTTTAGTGCAGAGGAAGGCCTCCTGTCCAACATGGCTGACTCTGGACTGCTAACCCAGAGGTCAGTTAAAGCAGAGAATCACAGCAAGTTGATGTTTGTCATTCAATTCTGTCCTATCATCTCCTTCCCTTTGAATAGGGTGGGTCCACTAATTTAAATTTTGTATCACACTCTCAATTCATTGTCTCTATTTTCCAGTATTGGGGTTTTTTTGTTTGTTTTTGTTTTGTTTTTTGGGTTTTTTTTTTTTTGGTGTGTTTTTCACGTAGAGCAGGAATAAAAGCAATCTGAATACAGACTCCTCCCAGCTGTTTAGTCTTTTCCCCATCCTGCAGTTGTCTTAAACCTGATTCTAAGATTCTGTTTTGCTTTTGCGTTGAGTAGCTGTCTCTTGCAACTCTCTAAAAATTTAGCTTGGTTTTTACTGAAATAATTTTTTCTTGCTTGCTTTAATACTTTTAAGATTTATGTAATGTCAGTTAAACTGTGTGATTATGGTGACAAGTATCTTTCAGAAAGCTAACAGGTTTAGGAATAAATATGTTTGATTCCTGATGAGCCTTCAGCCTAGGGGATGGGATTCAGTGTCAAGGTGAACTGGAGAGCCTCATGGCCTGATGTCGTTTCAGGAAATGACACAGATTAATGCAGGGAGAGCGTGTGGTGTGACCTCACACGGGCCTGTGATCCAGGGTGTTGCCACTGGAGCTTGGTGTAGTTTCCGGGTGTGACAAGGAAGCAGTTAGAGCATGGGCTGTCAGGGATAAACACAGCTGGACAGGTTGTTCCAGAATTGGGAATCCAGTTTTTTCCTGCCATGCATCCTAGGCTGACTGCTGTGTAGTCAGGTACGAGACATCTCGAGGAAGAGATGACATGTAAGGGATTTTGGTCCTGCAGTGACCAAGGAACTCAGTCTTGGAACCTCATCCTTGCATATCAGCAAGCACACCTTGAAATCTCCCTTTATTCCTGTTCTTCTCACCTTATCTTGCTTTTGTTGTTGTTGTTGTTCTACTTCGTTTTTTCTCTTTGGGGGAGGATTTTCATTTGTATGGCCTATCTTAAAGTCTCCAGTAACACCAGTATCTATAAATCTTGACATTCAGCGTATGTTCAGGTAACTTACTAGTATGCTGCTTGACTGTGCTACTTGTGGATATGATGAATACTTTTATTTTTCTTTGTCTACAGCAAATATCCACTAGGAGCTCTTAAGACAACTTACTCTTCCTCCCACAACCTTGAAGGCCAAGTTCAACAAGCTTAGCCCTGGCTTGGCCTAGCTCCTATCCTTACTCCTGTTCATGTCCCATCTTGATGTGAAGGGACTCCACAAGGGGAAAAGCCTCCTAGCCGCGTGCTTCTTCTAGATCTCCTTCCCAGTGGCTTAGGAAATCGGCACCATGTAAATTAGAAATAAGTTACAAAAACATATTTTCAAAGACAAATACCCCACACTGGAGGTTTGCTTAACGTTGTTGGGGCAGACAGTTGGAGGTTAATCCTCTGGGGTCCGGCTTCTTTTTTTAATAAAAAATTTTCCCACTGTTTTTCCTTTCTATTTTATTCTTCTGCAAATGTCAGCGAGACCTGTGGGTGAGCCCTGCCCTGGGAAAATGTCAGTCTCTGAGGGCAAGTAAACTATTTTCATTCTTTCCTGAAGAAACATTGTAAATTCAGATAGCAAACATCAAAAAGTAGCAAAGACATGTGTTCTCCAACGTGAGCTCTGACCGTATTTCAGCTACTAGACTGAGTGCTTTATTTATATTTTATAGATGAGAAAACGGAGACCTGCTCCAGGTTTGGGGCTAGGAAGTCACAGTAGAGCCAATGTCTAACTCCATAGTGAGGGGTTTAGCCATTTTGTACTTTCCCTTTTTTAATTACTTTTCTTTTTTGCTACTTAAATCTTTATTGTTGAAAGTATTACATATGTCATCTCCCCCCATGGACCCCTTTCTTAAATTACTTTTTAGAATTTGTAGTGAAATTCACTCTTATTGGTGTATAGTTCTGTGAATTCAGACAAACCCATAGAGACACATAACCTCAGCACAAGCAAGAGTCAAAGTAGTCCATCACCTTCAGAATCACCTTCTGCTGCCTGTTTGTGGGCAGACCCCGCCCCCACCCCAGGACAACCGCTGATCTCTTCAGCCATCAGAAACTGTGCTATAAGTGGATCATACACCTTGTAGCCTTTGGAGTCTAGCTTCTTTCAATGAATATAATGTGTTTGAGATGCATCCATGACCTTGGGTGTATCAATAGTTCATTTTTTATTGTTGAGGAATATTTCACTGTATGGTGTACTACAATTTTTAAAAAAATATATTTATTGATTTTTTACAGAGAGGAAGGGAGAGAGATAGAGAGTTAGAAACATCGATGAGAGAGAAACATCGATCAGCTGCCTCCTGCACACCCCCTACTGGGGATGTGCCCACAGCCAAGGTACATGCCCTTGTCTGGAATCAAACCTGAGACACTTCAGTCCGCAGGCTGACGCTCTATCCACTGAGCCAAACTGGCTAGGGCTACAATTTATTTTTTTATCTGTTCATCAGTCAAAGGACATTTAGGATGTGTGAGGCCAACATCCTATATAGTAAAAGCCTAATTTGCTAAGTGTCCGGTCCTCTGGTTGTCCATTCAACCAATCAAAGTTAATATGCTAATAATATGCTAAGGCTGCACAACCGCTTGCTATGATGTGCACTGACCACCAGGGGGCAGAAAGTCAACCAGTCGACCAGTCACTATAACGTGCACTGACCACCAGGGGGCAGACGCTCAACACAGGAGCTTCCCCCTGGTGGTCAGTCAGAAGCCAGGCTCACAGCTGGCAAGCATAGCAGCGGTGGCAGGAGCATTTCCTGCCTCTGTACCAGCGCTAAGGATGTCCAACTGCCGGCTTAGGCCCGCCTAAACTGTCAGTTGGGCATCCTCCAAGGGCTCCCGGACTGCGAGAGGGCGCAGGCCGGGCTGAGGGACCCCCCCACCCCCCCACTACCACCGAGTGCACGACTTTCATGCACTGGGCCTCTAGTTATAAATATTCACCTACAGTGTTTTGTGTGAAGTTAAGCTTTCATTTCTCTTGGGGGAAATACCTAGGATTGAGAATCCTGGGTCATATGGTAACTGTATGTTTAATTTGTAAGAAATTTCAAACTGTCTCTCCAAAGTGGCTGTACAATTTTGCTTTTCTACCATCAATGAATGAGATTTCCTGCTGTGTCACATTCTTGCCAGCACTTAATATTTTGGTATTTTTCATTTTGGACATTTGTTGTTGCAAAGACTATTCTATATCTGCATTGAAGTTCCTTTGCAACTTTGTCAAAAAGCAATTGATTCTATTTATGTGGGCCTGTTTCTAATTTTGTTCTTTTCTTTTTAAAAACAATATATTTTTATTGATTTCAGAGAGGAAAGGAGAGGGAGAGAGAGATAGAAACAGCAATGATGAGAGAGAATCATTGATTGGCTGCCTCCTGCACGCCCCCCCACTGGAGATCAAGCCTGCAACACAGGCCTGTGCCCTGACCAGGAATCGAACTGTGACCTCCTGGTTCATTGTTTGATGTTCAACCACTGAGCCACACCGGCTGGGCATTGAATATTGATGATTGAGGTCACTCATGGTTTTTGGCTTATTTTCCTATATGTTTCTTTGGTCATTAGAAAACTACTGATTACCTTTTCACATATTTATTTTCAATAAAAATATTCCTCCCAAATGCTGTAGTTCTCAATTTATCGAGATTAGCTGCAAAACAAGACCAGGGCATCCGCAGCTGCAGCCGGTCGCTCCCAGCCAGGTGCTGCACACAAGCTCACGGCTCGGCGACCTGCTGTCTCCTGTTTTCAGTTTGCCCTCTCACTGGTCTCTGCCCCCAGCGGACTTTCCAGGACATCCATGTGACCTCGGTCCCCATCACCTCCAGGGAAGGACAGTGCATCTGAGCCTGGTGCACTAGGGCCTCAGCGTCTGTCCCTGCCCACAGCTGACCCTCCAGCCCTCGAGGCTCTGCTTGTAGCTCCCAGGACCAGTGGAGGGTCTCTTCCTGCTTCCTGTCCCTTCACTTGGGGTGGCTCTGTCCCTCCAGTTTTCCTGACATTTCCTCCCCTGTGCAGGGCCTGGGTCACAGTGACTATTTCTGGTCCGAGTTGCCCCGAGCAGGGGATCGAGGCTGGGCCTGCGGCTAACCTGTCTTTACATCTGTGGAGTCTTGGCACAGTTTGTGTGGCAAGAGGCGAGGGAGGACCAGTGGCTGGCCTCTGAGCCCCTGTCTGGACAGTGAAGAAGAAGTATGGGGTTATTGCAGCCTCCCACTTGGTTGTGCTCAGTTTGGGAGAGAGAGCAGGAACCTGTAATGAGTGTATGTACCAGTTTCAGGGGGGATGTATGACGTTTAGCAGCTTTTTAATGTTTGATTTAAGGAGAGAACTGGTGAGCAAAGGCACTGAAATTAGTGCCATTTGCTCAAAGGGCCCTCTATGAGGTCCTGACCTTGGGACATGTCTGTCTGCCCTTCTAAAACTGTCCCTTCTCTCGGTTTCAGTGAAGCGCTATATCCGGAAAGGTGTTCCATTCGAGCACAGGGCCCGCGTCTGGATGGGGGTGAGTGGAGCCCAGGCCCAGATGGAGAGGAACCCTGGCTATTACCACCAGCTTCTCCAGGGAGAGAGGAACAACAGCCTGGAGGAGGCCATCAGGACAGGTGAGCATGGCATCCCTCCCTGGGTGCATGGTGCCCAGGCGGGAGGAGGAGCGGGAATTATCCCCAAACTGGGTTTGTACTCCGTCTTTGAAGTCATGACGTTGACAAAGAAACAAACATGGTTAAAGATGCACCAACTGATTTCAATTTGAAATTATATTTTTCTTAAAGGAAAATCAAAACTTAAGTGTTCATGAAGGGAAAACGATGTCTTTTTATATATGATTTCAGAGAGGAAGGGAGAGGGAGAGAGAGATAGAAACATCAATGATAAGAGAGAATCATTATTGATCGGCTGCCTCCTGCATGCCCCACACTGGGGATTGAGCCTGAAACCTGGGCATATGCCCTGACTGGGAATTGAACCGTGACCTCCTGGTTCATAGACTGACACTCAACCACTGAGCCACACTGGCCAGGTGAGAACAATGTCTTTAATTTATTCAGCAAATATTTGAGCACCTAGCTAGCTGGTGAGGAAAATGACCATGGAGAGACCAGACTTCTTCCATGAAGAAGCCCTCCGGGAGAATGAGAAGGGCGCTGAGCAAGCAGTCATAATACAGTAGGTAATGCTGGAAGGGATTTGTGCCTGCCAGGAGTATGTGGGACTTACAGGTACAGCTACACATGTATCTTAAAGCCACACACCAGAGTTTTCTTTCTTTGTGTCAAACTTAATAGTTGTATAGGGATGCTGGCATTTTTGGCCTCTGATCTCTTTTTCCTCCACTTTCCTCATCTTCTATAACAATAAAAGTGTAATATGCTAATTAGACCGGACAACCTTCCGGACCAAGCCAGGGCTGCGAGGGAAGCCCAGGTCCCGGGTGCCAGAGGGGAGCCAGTGCCAGCAGCTCGGGGAAGGAAGGCCTACTCTTGCACGAATTTCATGCATCCGGGCCTCTAGTAGTTACATAGGCTCTCTGGCTCTTAAAAGTTCAAAGTGCTCAAAAAAAAAAAAAGTTTAACCTAAATTGAATAATTACATTTTAAGGAAATACATCTGCCATTCTGATTTTAACAGTTTTTGGGAAATAAATATATCAACACAAGTAGTTCATTTTAAAATTTCAATTACTTTCAAGTGCTGAGAGGTTGTCACACTGACTTGTGACAGTGGGAGAGTGGGTGGGGTATCCCTGTCATAAGGAATGGGGTCCTTCAGTCCTCAGGGTCTCATAGGCCCAGGGTTGGAACCAGTGGGGAGAGCTGGGGGTGCTGAACCCTCTGGCTGCATCCTGATTGCACAGCAAACTGGGGTCAAAGGGCTCAGAACAGAAGCTGTTGCTGGCTTTGCAGGCACAGCCTAGGGTATCACTCAGCAGGCCCAGAAATGCTGAGAGTCAGGTTGGGAGGTCCAAGGGAGGCTGAGCATAGTACACAAAATAGGATGCTGCTGTTGGTTTGACAAATGGATTTAGAGGCTCTGTTTAGTGCCAGTATTTTTGGATAAGTATTTTTTTATTGTGGTAAAATATATGTAATATAAAATTTACCATTTTATCTTCCCAAACTGAAACTCTGTTCCCATTAAACACTGACTTCCTGTCCCCCAGCCTCTGGTACCCGCCATTCTACTTTCTGTCTCTAGGAATTTGATGACTCTAAGTGTAACCAGACAATCAATGGGTCTAGGCTGCCTGTCACTACTTGAGCCAATTCAGCAGAGATAGGGTTGAGTCATATATGAGCATTTATTCCAAAAATGCCCGCAGTATGGGAGAACAGCAAAAATCTGCTCCAACCCCACCATAAGCCAGCTGCTTACTAGTATATTGGGTAGGACAAAGATTACATGGCGAAGTAAGAACAAGTGTATGCCAAATGGGCAGTTTTCATGTCATGAGGGCTGGAGATCTGCAAAGGCCTGTGGGTATGCAAAGGCTGGGGGTCCTCGCTGGCAGCTCTGTTTCTGCAACAGGGTTGTTCATCTTTCCACGATAATAGGCAGCTCCCAGATGGGGAGGGTGGGCCAAATTTCCAGGTGAGCTCCCAGGCCCCACAGCCAACTCCCAGTCAGATTAGAATGTGCTTTCTTTAATCAGAACAGAACAATCACGGTTAACAGAGCATGATTAATATTTCTTACGATTATAGCTGGTCCCCACTATTCTATTTCTGCCCCTATCATAAGTACCTCTTATAAGTGGAATCGTACAGTATTTGTCTTTTTGTAACTGGTTTCTTTCACTGAGCATAATGACCTCAAGGTTCACCCATGTTATAGCATGTGTAGCATTTCCTTCCTTTTTAAGGCTGAATAATTATTCATTGTATGTATATGCACAGTTTTGTTTAAAATTCACCCATTTGATGGACACTAAGGTTGCTTCCACCTCTTGGCTACTGTGAATAACGTTGCTATGAACATGGGTGGACAAATATCTCTTCGAAACCCTACTTTCAGTTCTTTTGGGTATATTGCCAGAAGTAGAATTGCTGGATCACATGGTAATTCTGTGTCTATTTTTTTTGGAATCTGGACAAATAATTTTATAGGATTAGTAGAGTGGATGTTTCATCCCATGTAAGCATAGTCTGAATGTCCCTGTCCACATTCACTTGTACAGTTGAAGGTAGCATTTCCCATAGAAAGATTTAAAAACAGCCGAAACCGGTTTGGCTCAGTGGATAGAGCGTCGGCCTGCGGACTGAAGGGTCCCGGGTTCGATTCTGGTCGAGGGCATGTGCCTGGGTTGCGGGCACATCCCCAGTGGGAGATGTGTGGGAGGCGGCTGGTCGATGTTTCTCTCTCGTCGATGTTTCTGACTCTCTATCTCTCTCCCTTCCTCTCTGTAAAAAGTCAATAAAATATATTTAAAAAAAAAAATTAAAAAAAAAAAGAAAGATTTAAAAACATATGAAAAAATTTCTCATAACAAAAAACATTACAAAAAAAATGAGCACAACTGGTCATTCTAGTCTGAATTAGTAAAAAATGAAAATGAAAGTACTCATTTTCTCCTGACCAGGTGCAGTTTTTGGAATGCTTAGAATTCCAGAAAAAAAAATTTGTGGACATTTTTTAAAAATCCAAATGATTCAAGCCCACCCAGAGACACAAAAAAAACAAACAATCAAATGAATTAGGGATTTTAGTTAATGACAGTGTATCAATTACTTCATTAATTGTAACACAAATGTATCATACTCATCCTATCTAATAAAAGACAAAAAGGGTAATTGACCGTACCTTCGCTACACTTCCCATTGGCTAATCAGGGCGATATGCAAATTAACCTCCAACAAAGATGGTGGTTAATTTGCATACATAGGCTCCAAGCGGTGGAGCGAAGCCAAATGACCCCGAAGCCGGCCGAGCAGTGAGGCCTCACGGCCCCGGGATCAGCGGAGCCGCGAGGACTGAGGGCTTTGGGGGTGGCCCTGGCCGGAGCCCAGCCAGAGCGAAGGCCTGGGTCCCGGGTGTCGGAGGAAAACTGGTGCCAGCAGCCAAAGGAAGGGAAGGCCTATTGGACGAATCTCTTCGTGCAACAGGCCTCTAGTAATAAATAAATAAAATTAAATACATTCAAATAAAAGTTAAAAAAAAATGTATCCATGGCTAATAAAACAGAAACCCTAAGTCTCCCACCTCTTGGCACCTTCTTGGGGATGATACTACTCAGTCATGAATCATTGCAAAGCTCCTTTTCACTGTCCCTGTCATACCGTCTGTCCTTCAGGTTGTCAGAACTGAAAGGCATAGGCTGAGGCAAGGATGGAGAATGCGACAGACTTATGGGGGGCATTTAAAAAGCAAAACAGCCCTAACCGGTTTGGCTCAGTGGATAGAGCGTCGGCCTGTGCACTCAAGGGTCCCAGGTTCGATTCTGGCCAAGGGCATGTACCTTGGTTGCAGGCACATCCCCAGTAGGGGGTGTGCAGGAGGCAGCTGATTTGATGCTTCTCTCTCATCGATGTTTCTAACTCTCTATCCTTCTCCCTTCCTCTCTGTAAAAAATCAATAAAATATATATTTAAAAATAAATAAATAAATAAATAAAAATAAAAAGCAAAACAAATTTTTGTAGAAAACAATAAAAAATAATGTGCTTTGGGACACTAAGCTTGTTGTTCTGCCCAGATCTAGTTTTTTTATAAGCAAAGACAAGGCCTGGGGGGTCAGAGGATCACCGTTGCAGCATTTTCACAGAGGTTTGTGGCCATCATGCTAAAATAGAGGTTGGGACCTAGCCAGCTTGGCTCAGTGGATAGAGCGTCGGCCTGTAGACTGAAGGGTCCCAAGTTCGATTCTGGTCAAGGGCACATGCCCAGGTTGTGAGCTCAGTAGGGGGCAAACAGAATGCAGCTGATCAAGGATTCTCTCTCATCATTGATGTTTCTCTCTCCCCCTCTCTCTCTCTCCTTCTCCCTTCCTCTCTGAAATTAACAAAAACAAAAAATTATAAAAAATAAAATAAGTAAAATAGAGGTTGGGTTTCCTAAGATACAGAGGGGAGACACCTTGCATGCTTATCTTAGATCATGACAGAGGAAGCTAATGGTTATGTGGGCCCCATAGCGCGATCTGTGAGGGGTATCTGATTTGTTTGGTTATCATACATAGCACAGTAGCAAACACACCACTCATCTAACTAAGTAGGGTCAGTAGAGTCAGAAAAGATATAAAAGTTTAAGTTGATATCCTCTATGTTCTTGCACCTGTCCACAGCGTTAACTTATAAAACTCAGCTTTAAAAAGTCAGGCATCGGCCCTGGCCGGTGTGGCTCAGTTGGTTGGGCATCATCCATGCACTGAAAGGTCGGGGGTGTGGAAGAGGCAGCTGGTCGATGTTTGATTGATGTTTTGTTCTCACATTGATGTTTTTCTCTCTCTCTTTCCCACTCCCTTCCTCTCTGAAACTCAATTAAAAAAATCTTTAAAAAAAAAAAAGTCAGGCGTTGTCTTAGTGGCCTAATCCAGCACCTGTGCCCCTGCACTGGGCCCTGGTGTCCTGGCGACCTGGCCGGCCAGGTGGGAGGGCCGGGCTGAGGAAGTGGATGTCTGATGAGCAGGAAGAGGCTGGCCAGGAAGCCCTCCTGCAGACAAAGGTTGACAGTGCGAAGTTTATTTAGTTCTTTTTAAAAATATATATTTGTAATGGGGGGATAGGGGGGTAATGTGGGGATAAGGACACATATGTAATAACTTAATCAATAAAGAAATTATATATATAAATATTTGTATTGATTTCAGAGAAGAAGGGAGAGGGAGAGAGAGATAGAAACATCAATGATGAGAGAGAATCATCAAATGGCTGCCTACTACATGCCCCACACTGGGGATCGCAACCCGGGCATGTGCCCTGACCAGGAATTGAACCGTGACCTCCTGGTTCATAGGTCGACATTCAACCACTGAGCCACACCGACCAGGCTGTATAGTTCTTAGTTTTGGGTTTTGTCTGTTTACCTCTGAAAGGGAATCTTGGTGTGTTCTGCTTCTTTATGTTTTCAATCTTCAGAATTGGGAAGAATTTCTAGAGTTTTGTGTAAGATGTTCACCTGTCACGTGTTCTAGAGTCAAGCCTCCCCTTAGCTAAGAGGGGGCAGCGTGAGGACAGGTTTGCTGGGTGAAGGGCCTCCCCCAGAGAAGCCCACTCTGCTGTCACTGATTTTGAGAGAACCCCTCTTGGGGCCCACAGTGCCCCCCTGGGTGTGGCTGGAGCAGGACGGGGGTCCTGGGAGTGTCCTCTTCTTCCATCCCGACTCCAGTCGCCCAGGACCTTGGCTGTGAAGGCTGCAGGCGCTCATTGCCCATACAGGGCAGCCCTACCAGGTGACTCAAGTGCACAGCCAGGGATGACACCACTCCTTACACCTGAGCCGGAGCCCAGCACTTCACCAGGTGGTACCTCACAGACCGTTCAGTTCCCACCTTCTGAATAATCGTGTCGTTGATTTCTCTGCAGATATGAACAGGACCTTCCCGGACAACGTGAAATTCCGCAGGAGCGCCGATCCGTGTTTACAGAAGACCCTGTACAACGTGCTCTTGGCCTACGGGCACCACAACCAAGGTGTGGGGTACTGCCAGGTAAGCCCCAGGATGGTGAAAAGGATCGGCACCCCACAGACTTACAGCAGGGGTGCTCTCAGGTCTATGTGAAGTATTCTTTAAAAATCTAGTTCAAAACTCCCTAAGTCATGGCGCCTGCACAAGCTGTGACTTCAAGCATTTCCCTGTTACAAAAGCAGTGCAGCCTCTGTGTAATGATTTCTTTTGGTGTCAGACGGCCCTGAGAGGGGGTGAAGGTGGAAAGTTGGGAAGCAGCTAGGAAGTAAGTGAACACAGGGCTGTATTTTCTAGAACCGAAGGGGACAAACAGCACCTTACTGCCTCAGTGTGCAGTGTGTGTGTGTGTGTGTGTGTGTGTGTGTGTGTGTGTGTGTTGGGGGTGGGGGCTGTTCCTTTGACATGGTTTTTGGAAGTCAATCTTCCCTGCGATGAAAGGTAACGGTATCCCTCCTCGCCTGCCACGTTGCTGGCTTGTTTTGGGTTCGCTGCGTGAAGCACACGTGAGGTGGGAACGAAACTTCTGTTTCTCCCTGGACAGTTCAGGCTGGAGTGTTTCAGAGGGACACACTCATTCACAGCAGGGAAAGCAAGAATCCTGGTGAGGAGCAGCTGCAGCTGTGCCCTCTGTGGCTGCTGCATGTGATACGGCCGCGCTGCCTTGGAGATGGGCCGGTTCTGTCTCTGAGCTTGCTGAAGGCCTGGGAGGCCTGAGCCGCCATTGGCAGGAGCTGCCCACTTCCTGTTACCAGGAATGCTGCTTGTTGCCATGGCTACGAGCAGGCGCTCAGGGCTGTCACGGGAAGAGTGTGGCTCTCCCTGCCTCTGAGGCTGCATGCTTCTCATGCTCCTGGAGCCTGAGGCTCGTCGGTAGGCTTCTTGAGAGGAGGTGAGTAAGCCCATCTTTTTTTTTTTTTTTTTTTTTAATATATTTTTGAACGTCAGCCTGCGGACTAAAAGGTTCCAGGTTCGCTGCGGACTGAAAGGTCCACCAGGTTCGATTCCACATCCCCAATAGGAGGTGTGTAAGAGGCAGCTGATCGATGTTTCTCTCTCATCAATGTCTAACTCTCTATCCCTCTCCCCTCCTCTCTGTAAAAAATCAATAAAATATATATTTTAAAAATACATATTTTTATTTATTTCAGAGAGGAAGGGAGAGGGAGAGAGAGAGAGAAACATCAGTGATGAGAGAGAATCATTGATTGGCTGCCTCCTGCACAGCCCACACTGGGGATCGAGCCCGAAACCCAGGCATATGCCCTGACTGGGAATCGAACCGTGACCTTCTGTTTCATAGGTCGACACTCAACCATTGAGCCACGCCCAGGCCAAGCCCATCTTGATGGGAAGTATACACGTAACAGTCAGGGTCCAGGGCTCCAGAGTGGGTCATACAGGCCGGGGAGCCAGGGGAGTTTGGGTCCTCCCTAAGGTTTGAACAAATGGTTGTGCAGGGGTCGGGGCTGGGGGTGCTTTGCAGTTTGCATTCCTGCGTGGTCAGCATGTGGCGTGGCTCCAGGCTCAGAGAGGAAATGGGAGAAGGAGTGAGGCAGGTCCTTTTCAAAAGAGGCATCATAGTTACTGCTCATCTTCACCTGAATAATTCATCACTGTGTTCATATTGCTCTGGTGCCCGGAGGCAGTGCCTTCAAGTAGATGGAGCTGGGATGGCCCCATTCTTCCAGACAGAATTCCTGTCATTCTCAGCTTTTATTACTGTCATTAACTTGTCCTGAAACAAGGACTCCACCTGCCTTTCTCAGAAGGGGAAGCAGGGGGGGTGAGAAATTGTCCTAAGAGTATTCTAGGTACAGTTCTTGTGGGTTTTTAAAATGGCTTTAAAAAATAAACCACACAGTTTTAAATATCAGCATGATGTCAGCACTCTATTGGCTTTTCGAATCTATGTTGGCTTTTGGAATATATATGTACACACAAACACACACACAGATACGCACACACACCTACACACAAGCACACAGATACACACATACATGTTGTATTAGCTTCCTGGGGCTGCCATGACAACGCGCTGTAAGCTGAGAGGTGTGAACAACAGGAGTCGTCTCCCACTGAGTTCGAAGTCTGAGATGGAGGTTTGGGACGGCTGGTTCCTTCGCAGTCTGTGAGGGGCCTCTGTCCCAGGCGTCCCCCAGCTTCTGGTCTCGGGCAATCCTTGGCTTTTAAGCACCTCACCCAATCTCTGCCTTCCTGCTCACATGGTGTTCTCCCGGCCTGGTGTCTCCGTGTCCATACTTACCTTGTTGGTTGACAAAAGTTGGATTTTTCCCTTATTATTAGAGAAATACATACTTATTTTAGAAAATACAGGCAAGCCAAAGAGAAAAATAGAAATAGTCTAAAACCGTGTCACCCAGAGATGACACTAACTCACTGTTGTTAAGCGCCCACCTCCCTTGGTCTTCCCTCATCTAGCTGCTTCTCTTAGATAAGAGAGTCACATACGTCGAGTATTTCAGCAACATCTGCCCTTTGGCCATGAATTTCCCCAAACAGCCTCGATCACAAGAATCTCTTTCAACATTCTTGTGTGTCAGAGCATGTTCCTTATGGACTTTATGAACTATGGCTATTGGTGTAGTTTCCCCTCTGATATAGAGTTTCATGCTATTAGATTAATTTTTTTAAAGAAATCAATTGCAAGTTGCTTTCATAAGGTTGAAGAATTTTTTATTTTAGTTTTCTAAGGCAGTATTCAGAAGAGTTTCTTGTAATCATTTTCTTCTTCTTCCTTTTCTTGTAGACTAAATGCACCAGATGTCAGATCCTTAGTATCACCAAAGTTGCACTAAAAGGTCATTCTAGAATTATGCAAGTTTTAGGAAAAAGCAAGGGAAATGGGAAGTTAGTAGTAAGCAGCCCAATGATTACAGAATCTTATGGTGTTTTAAAGCTCAACATGGATTTCTGTTTCTCATTTTTCTAATTTCAGGGAATGAATTTTATCGCGGGATATCTGATTCTTATCACGAAGAACGAAGAAGAATCCTTTTGGCTATTAGATGCTCTTGTTGGAAGAATACTACCTGGTATGTTGAAAATCCATACTGCATGCCTTTCACTGTCTTGTTTCTGATGTTATTGAAATGATTCAGCTGACAAGTCAAGATTTAATGAAAATACAACTGAATTGTTTGGGAGTTGAGGTTTAAAATCTTTTTGCAGTGAAGTTAAAGAGAAGAAATATATGTCAGACGATCGGCTCCAGCTAGAGCAGCTGGTCATTTCTGCATCTCAGAGCTTGAATTTGGCCGAGACTGTGTGCTTGGCTCATCTGTTCCTCAGTCTGTACCATTTGTGTTGAGACTCGTTTGGCCTTGGTATGTTTTACTGATCACCGAGTCTGCGAGAAGTTCACTTGGTTACATGCATATAATAGTATTTGTTACTGAGTTTGTGAATGGATGTAAGAGCGAAATAATTGTCAGCTGTTATCATTACTGTTATGAAGGTGAGAATCATTCTTGTCATACATTTCCACCTTTCTACTTATTAATAAATAGTTTTAATTACTAAATACTTTATGTTAATAATCACTCACTGATTTTGGTAATGCACCGTGTTGACTATGAGCTGCAGAGTAGGATCACTTTGGAAAGAGACGTGGCCAGAGCCATCCGGGTGGGATAGGACTCGATGGTGGCAGTTGGTCACAGTGAGCCTCACGTTTGAAAGACTAGCATAGTTTCGAAGTCCTCATGACTGGGAGGTTACAGGCCTCCCACGGTAGTGAGCCCTGGGTTGGTCTTGTTTTCTGTCTGCCTCTGAGTTCCCTTCCTGCTCCTCCCTTCCCTCAGGCATGCCTCCCTGTGTCAGGCTAGACCCACCCAGGACAGCATCCAGGGACTTCTCTGGAGAGCCGGCTCCCATGTCTCCATGTTGAAGACAATGAGCGTGGTGTGCACATAGCACGTTTCAGGTTCCATGCTAAACTGTGCCTACATTCTCATTTAATCCTCAGAGCAGCTACACCACATAGACCCAATTATTAAACCCGTTTTAAAGAGAAGGACACTTCAGGCCTAGGTCCCACAGCTGTATGCAGCAGAGCCCGGGTTCAAATCCACAGCTGTGTGACTCTAAGACAGCCGTGGGCAAACTACGGCCCGCGGAATGGGTTCTTAAACTGGACCAGAGGGCCAGAACAAAAGCATGGATGGAGTGTTTGTGTGAACTAATATAAATTCAAAGTAAACATTAGTTCACACAAACACTCCATCCATGCTTTTGTTCCGGCCCTCTGGTCCAGTTTAAGAACCCATTGTGGCCCTCGGGCTGTAGTTTGCCCACGGCTGACCTAAGACCTTGCATGTACCTCATGGAAGAGTGAACCTGGACGGCACCGTTAAAGAAAGGGAGGATCTGGAAAGAGAGGGAAATGGGACCCTCCTCATGCTCTGGAGCGGCCATTAACAAGGGCTCAGGAGTGGCCGTGCAGAGGCCAGGCTGGATGACGCTGCCACGGGGAGAGGAAAGGTGCAAAGGTCCTGCCGTGAGAAAAGAGCCTGAAGGGAGAGGACTCTGGGAGTCCCAGCCTCAACGTGAAGGCCGGAGCTGCAGTGGTGGGGAAATGATGAGGAAGAGGGAGTCAGGACTTTCCATATAAAATATTGACAGAGCTTTGTAACATATTCACCGTTGGCTTCTGTTATGTCCTAAGACTGAATTACAGTGAGTATTTATATCCACGATCAACTCCGTTCTGGGGGTGTGGGAAACATCAGTGAACAAACTAGAAAAGGCCCTTCCCGGTGGAATTCCCATCGTAGTAAGAGGTCAAACAATGAGCAACAGCAGCCACAATTCAACCCATAATAAATAGGTAAAATATGTCGTGTTGATATTCATACACGCAGACCAAAGGAGGAGCCCCGAGACTGAAAATTTACCTCAATAAGTGGAGGGCAGGGAAAGACCGAAGAAAGAGGCTTGCAATTGATAGAGTTTCTTTAGGGAAACTTACATTTGAGGCATGTCTTCTGCAGCTGCAAGACAAAATGGACCCCTCTGCCACTTGGTGCCAGAGAATTATATAGGATAAAAAGGGGAATAGTAATGGGTATGTCAGCGCTACCAGGTACAGGAAATTAATTTACATGCTTGACCAGGTCAGGACAATAACCTGTTCCAGGGACTAGTATGTAGCAGGAGGCAAGGGAGGGGTACTGATTTATATCAGAATGAACATCCGTTATGATCAGATAGCCTCTAAAGGGGGTTTGCATAAAGCAATCTCCATTCTAGCCTGGGTCCAGCTCAAGGGACAGAGAGCAGTCATTTCATGGAACAGTCTCTCCTCTATAGTTAAACAAAATTTAACTGAGTACATTGGATGATCTAATTGGCTTTATTAAACGATTCATGAATCAAGCAGCAACTCATCTAATAAGTAGAGAGATGCTATGAGGGGTTATACAAGATAGAAGGCTTTTATAGAAAGGAGGGCGGGACAAAGAAGTCAGCAAAAGAAAAGTGAAAGTTCATTAAAGGAAAGTAAGAATTCAGGTGATGGTGGCTTCTCATTGGCTAAGCTGTGACGTTTCCATTGGCTGGGCTTGTTGCTGGGCAGGGGGAGAATCTGCTGGAGTATTAAAGTAGTCAAGTGTTATGGTCTGTAATTGACTTTCTCCCTGTTGAGGTCTGCAGTTGAGGTCTTCCTTTTTGGGGTAGTTGACCTCAAGTGGTAAGGTGTGATAGCTCCCTCGATAGGCCTTCCCAACTCCAATTACAGTTGAGGTTTCCTTTAATTTTTGTAACAGATTATTAGCAGGTAATAAATGCTGACTTAGAAAAACATAAGAGCAAGACTCCAAATTGCTCCTGAAGTGGCAGTGTCATTACAGAGACTTATTTTTAAATCCATGAAATGTCATTTCCTATCATTATTAGGTTCAGTCAGACTAAACTGCAGTGCCATCAAAAACAAAAGAAAATGTCACAATAAAAATGTTAGGACTGTGAGAGAAAAAAGGGATTATTCTTGCCATTGCAGAGCTCTCCAAATGGCAAAGAGGCAGCTGCATGCCATGTTATCTGAATTCTCGTTGCACAAACTAGGTCATTATAGTGCCACAGTTATCCTGCTTTTACTGGTTTCTTTTTTAATTACAGAAAAAAAATGCAGATATATTCTCATTTTAAAAGTTCAAAAATATAATAGTTATTATGAGATAAAAAGTAACAGTCTTCCTTCACTCACACCCATTTCTCTCCTACTCAGAGGTAATTATTATCATCAATTTGGTATATGTATTTCCAGAGTTCTTTCTATGTATTTATATATAATGAAAGAGTGAAATTTCACAAATGAAAGAGTGAAAATTAAAAACAAAACAAAGAACCAATAGAAAAGGTGAACTGAAACAAAAACTGGTTCTTTAGGAAAACTGATAAGATAGATAAACCTTTGGCAAGATTGGTAAATAAAATAATGGATAAGGTATTTAGAAATGAAAAATCTGCTGTGATTTGAAAATCTATTGATTTTACTACAAATAAAATGAAGACACTGATACTTTTGAGAAAAAGACAGTTTAACAAAGTTGACTTGAGAGAAAATAGAGCATCTAAATGGGCATATGAACAGACATACAAAAATCTCTTCACAGACATAAAATCTCATCAAACTGAAGGAACAGATATTTCCTATATGTTTCTTAAATCTTGTAGAAAATAGAAAATGATAACTACTCATCAATTTATGCTATGAAGCTGGTACAACCTTGTTGTCATGCAGGTGAATCTCACTGATGAGCACAGTTATACAAATCCTAATTTAAATAATAATAAATTAGCAACTTGAATCCAGGGATGGTCATGGAGGATTATTTTTTTATCTAAAGAAAGTTTATACCAGGAATTCAAGGATGGCTTAACTATATGGAAGACTCAAGAGCAAAGCCAAGCTAATAAAGGCTTGAAAGAAGAATACAGGTGTGGGGGGGAAGAGGGAGAGAGAGAAGAATACTGGAGATTTATTATAATGCTATAATAATTAAATTGTGTGATATTAGCGTATTGATATATACATAGAAAAGAGGCCAGAAGTCAACTGGTCTACTGACCTATTAATCTATTAGAATCTATGTGAGATGTCTCAATTAATGGGGAAAAGAAAGACTATTTGAAATATTATTTGGTGACAATTGACTATCTATATGGAAGAAGACAAAATTAGATCCTTATTTCTATTCCAGATGGATTCAGACTTTTGTGAAAAAGCAGATAGGCACTTTACAAAATAGGAAACCTGAATGGCCAACAAAGTTACGAAGAGATGACCAAGTTCTCCTGTGAGCAAGGAGATGCAGATTTAAACAGCACTGAAGTAGGATGTCAAAGCCAGCATAGCCACCTGACGGCCACCACTTCTAGGCAAGTGACACCCCAATTTCAGAGCAGTGGAAATGGGGTAAAAGTCAGTGCTAGGACCGAAGACAGCATTGTGTTATGGACTTCTCACAGAGGACGCAGAGCAGAGTACAAAGTCACAGACCTCATGGTCCTGTGCACGCCTTGCTGGCCTCAGGAGCCTTCCTCGGGCACTACCACCTCTAGGAGTTGTACAAAAAGTTAAGTCACTCATATAAGGTTTACTTAAAGGATTTCACTTTTACACTTAAATGCCTCTTATGGTCCCAAAGCAACAAAGCACTAGCAAACAATGCATGCTAAACTTGCCTCCATACATCTACACCCAGATTGCAGTCTCCCGCAGAATGCAGTCTCCAGCAGACCTCCTGGGAACCGGTGGAGGCTCTTCTGATTAGGCACCACTCACTCACACCAAGGCATCCGGTGAAGGGATGCAAAAGAAAAGCAGATTCACTTTGTGGATAGAAGAGGATTCCTGAGCCTTGCAGAGGAGCGAGGCCAGGACCAGGCTCTGAGCCCCTAGTGCTAATGGTGCCCATCCTACTTCAAGAAGTAAAGGGGGTAATTGCCTCCAGTAATGAATCAGTGCAATAATGAACTAATGATATATTAGCATCCTGAAAACTGGTCAAACCTGTTTTCCGTAGAAACACAGGGAAACAGGCTGTTAATTGCTCATCACAGAATAACCCAGCTCAAGCGAGAAGGTGTGGCCGAGATGAGGACTGATAAGGCACGTTGGAGGGGGGAGGGGGGCAGGGGGGAAGGCCCACAGACCCTTAGGAGCAAAGGTGGAGCAGGCCGAGGAACACTGGACTCTGTCGCAGCTGCACTGGAGAACGTGTTTCATGTGTTCTCTTGATTAACTTACCCATAAGGTCTCCTCCATAGTATTCCACAGCCTGTGCTCTACTCCTGTGGGGACCGGTGTTTGCTTTTTCACAGGCTGACATTCATCCCTGGCCTGAAGAGCATCCATTTGGAAATTAGACTTTACGGGTTTGAATCCCAACTCTACCACTTTCTTCTTCTTTTTTTTTAAGATGTTTTTATTGATTTCAGAGAGAAAGGGAGAGGGAGAGAGAGATAGAAACATCAATGATGAGAGAAAATCATTGATCGGCTGCCTCCCACAACCCGGGCATTTGCCCTGGACCAGAATCAAACCCGGGACCCTTCAGTCCACAGGCCAATGCTCTATCCACGGAGCCAAACCAGCCAGGACCCAGCTCTACCACTTTCTACTCATGTAGCAATAACCACGGGCACACTTTAAATCTGTACACCCCACCCCCACAGCAGCTCCCACACCCCAGACAGCACCCCAGCAGCGGCCCTGCCCCCGCAGCAGCATTTAGTCTTCCAGTGTCTGACACAGCCATTGTGCTGTCTGCCGAGGTGAATGTCCCCAGGAGAAGCGTAAGTAGGGGCCCCAGACAGGTGAGTCAGTTCAGGGCCTACCTAGGATTTATCTGTCCCTGTGCAGAGTGGAATGTGCCCTGTCAGGTGCTCCTCAGCTCAGACAGGTAGGGCTGTGCTGCAGGCGGGACCTCCAGGGAACTGGTTTGTCTCGCCTGCAACATTCAAGGGCAGAATGCATCGAGGAGGGAAAGTAGGTACAGAGGGCTTCAGGGATCTCCCCTGGTGACCGGCTCAGGCCTGTGGTGTGTGACTCTGACATCTATTTTTGGAAGCTACTGTAAGCGTCTCTGTAACCAAGAAGGTCCTGCTGTGCTCACAGCTTAAATGTCCTTCTGAGCAAATCCTCTTATCACTGCTGCGCCTGGACCCGGCTCCCTCTGAGATGTCCCTCGTATAACTGGGTTGGCACTGAAGACACTCTCGAACGGAGAACAGAGAATCTCTGCTTCTTTCTTCCCAAACGGAGCAGAATATTGCCGAATTAAAAAGGAGAAAGAGAGTAAATGGCTCCAAGTTTCCAAATGTATGAAAGGGAAGAATTTTTTTTTAAATCCCTGGTGTTTTATAACCAAATTGGCTTCTATTAAATTATTTTCAGTATTAAACAGTTTATTGTAGCTTACTCTTTGAAAACTAGCAATGTGACTGTGATATTGTATCAATATTTATGATGACTATTTTAACCAAAATATTTCATTTGCCATGGCAAGAGACTGGGCGGCATGCTGAATGTGTCTATTCTATTGCATAGATTACCTGCTACATTTTTATAGCAGAAGTTAGGCGTTAAAATTATTATAATACATCACACTAAGAAGCTAGGAAGTTTTTTTGGCAAGGCAAATGTCCGGTCAAAAGATGGACATGCTCTTGGCAGTGTTGGTCTTTCTGTCTGTTGAGCGAGTGGTCACAGAGCTGTAGGGACTGCTGGCTGCCCTCTGGTGCCCAGGGTCCTGATGGGAGAAGCAGAGCGACCATGAGGTCGCCTTAGCGGGTTGTGCTTTCCATGTTTTGACAGCCTGGTGTCCCCAAGCTACTAGAGTAAAAGAAAATTTTCCAAATTAAGTTGTCAGCCCTCTTTGGGAATGAACAAGAACAATTTTAGACTTAATATTGTCTCTGCCTTTCTGTATTCAGCGTGGTGGGGACATTTAGATCCTTCTAGAATTTCTGGTAAATAGAATGAAGTATCCTCCGCCCTCAAGTTGGAGGAAGCATGTAGGACTCCTTGAGACTTCAGCGAAGAGAGCCTTCACCAGCAGCTCTATGTGTAGACATTCCCCTGCACACGTGAGCACATGCGTGTGGGTTGACAGTGCCTGGACGCCCATCAGCCAGGAGCCAGTGAAGTGGGTTATGGCATATCCCTGCGAAGGCACCTCAGCAGAGGGCAGGCCATGTACATGAGGATGCAGAAAGGTGTTGGGGAAGTTTGCAAAGGGATGTATGACAGGGTCCTATTTGCAAGGTGTGTCCATGTGTGACATGGCATTACAGGTATGTAGGAGGCCCATCAGACTGCTTAGTGATAAGTGGTTACCTAGGGGACGACTTTGACTTTTCACCTGCTACTCTCCTGTAGTGTTCAACTTTATCAGGGGCATGTATCACCTTCATAACAACAACAAAAAACACCAGTGAAGAAGGAAGAGTGCGGCCGTGCTCAGAGGACCCCAGGATGCTCGGGAGGCAGTGGCATGATGCTGGAGAAGCCATCATGGCTGGGGCAGCCACTGTCCTTGAAATCCCAAGTCCACCCCATCAAAGGCACACGTTTCACCAACCAGCTGTGGGATTAGAAATTTATGATTTAGGCCAAAAATGTTTTTTAAAGATATTTTATTGATTTTTTTACAGAGAGGAAGGGAGAGAGATAGAGTAAGAAACATCGATGAGAGAGAAACATCGATCATCTGCCTCCTGCACACCCACAGCTGGGGCTGTGCCCGCAACCAAGGTACATGCCCTTGACCAGAATCGAACCAATCAAACTGGGGACCCGTTAGTCTGCAGGCCGACGCTTTATCCACTGAGCCAAACCGGTCAGGGCTAGGCCAAATTTTTAAAAATAATGTTTTGTGACACTAATTTGTGTGCCTAAACCCTCCACTCTGGGGAGGCAGTGGATGCAGAGGGACGATGTAGAGGGACCAGCTGCTTCGAGCCCCACCTCTCCTTACTCCGTGTATGTAGGGGGTGGCACGATGGCACCACGTGGGCACTGGGGTCAGGCTCGCTTGTGCCTGCTCCCTCATCCTCCATGGGCCACCTCGACCCTGAAGCTTCTCTGGCTCCCAGGAAGGAGCTTGCTGCAGGCAGGCTGTCCCTGCAGCTCAGGTGGCCCTATGCCTGCTCCTCCCGCGCCCCAAGCCTCCCTTAGTCCAGGTGGGCAGAGCCACCAAGGGCGGCATGTCCGTGGCTGCTGGGCTCTCCCTCAGTCTGGATGACAGGGAAAGGCAGCTGTCACCTGCAGATTTTTAAAGTTTTATTTTTTATTGTGATAAAATACACATAATATGATATTTACAATCTTTATCATTTTTAAAAGATATTTTACATTGATTTTTTGGGAGATAGGGAGAGAGAGAGAAAGAGAAACATCAATGTAAGAGTGAAACATCAATCGACTGCCTCCTGCACCCCCCTACCAGGATAGTGCCACAACCTAGGCATGTGCTCTGACCAGGAGACGGACTGGCAAACTTTTGGTGCACAGGACAATGCCTAACCAACTGAGCCACATCGGCCAGGGCAACAATCTTTACCATTTTTAAGTATACAGTTCAGTGGCATCAAGCGCATTCACATTGTTGTGTAACCATCACCACCATCCACCTCCAGAATTTTCTCATCTTCCCGAATGGAACTCTGTCCCCGTTAAATAACAGCTCCCCACTCCCTTCTTCCAGCACCCACCATTCTACTTCCTGTCTGATTTCGGAGGCTCTAGGCATCTCACATAAGTGGAATCATGTAGTATTTGTTCGTTTGTGGCTGGCTTATTTCACTTAGCACAATGTCCTCGAGCTTCATCCTGTTGTTGGACGTGTCAGTTTCCCTCCTTTTAAAGGCAGAATCATACTCCATTATGTGTGTAGACCACATTATCCATAGGCAGACGCTTGGTTATGTACTTTTTTGGCTGTTGTGAATAATCCTGCTACGAACATGGGTGTGTAAACACTCCTTCTTTCTGCCCGCCGATTTTAACCAATGCCCACCAGGGCCTCACTGTCCAGAGCCCCCAGGGACCCCAGGGGACCTTGCTTTGGGAATCACTCCCAGGAGTCCCTTTATCCACACGGCATGGCATCTCTCCCTGGTCCTCCCTCTAACCTTGCCCTCCTCTCTTCTAGAAAGGATCCTCCGGGGACAGCCCTGTTTTCTTTCCCTGGCTGAGAGGGAACGAGGGTTGAGGCTGTCAGGGGCTGTGGTTGTGGAACAAGTGATACACATTTTTGGGTTTTTCTCTTCATCCCTGTGGCAGATTACTACAGCCCTGAGATGCTGGGCCTGAAGACGGACCAGGAGGTCCTGGGGGAGCTGGTGAGGACCAAGCTGCCAGCGGTGGCGGCCCTGATGGACGGGCATGGCGTCCTGTGGACTCTGGTCGTGTCACGCTGGTTCATCTGCCTGTTTGTGGACATCCTGCCAGTGGAGGTGAGCATGTCGCAAGCCTCGCTGGGCCCAGGGCTGGCTCAGATCACCGTGCAGTGATGCGCCATGTCTGTTTCTCTGCAGACGGTGCTTCGAATCTGGGATTGTTTGTTCAACGAAGGCTCAAAGATTATCTTCCGGGTGGCTCTGACCTTAATTAAGCAACATCAGGCTTTTATTTTGGAAGCCACCAGTTTTGCAGACATCTGTGAAAAGTTCAAGGAGATCACCAAAGGGAGTTTTGTGACTGAATGTCACACCTTTATGCAGGTGAGTGTCTGGGTGTGCTCAGCCTGCACTTTGCTCTGCGGTTCCATTTGCCTGGCCTGTGGAATGGGAGTCCTGGCTTTACACATCTGTCCAGCAAAGCATCTGTCTCTGTGTTTCCTTTGGATCTGGATCTCTGCCTCCACTCAACCCTTCACCCTCCCATCTCAAGCAAACCCTGAGGAGGGACTCCGCCCTTCCAGGCCCTCTTCTCCTGGAGCCTAGTGCCCGAGGCAGATGGGTGGGGCCACCTACCTGGAGTCCAGCAGCTGCTGCCCCTCCTCCTGTGCATCAGCCATGGAGTGGCTTGCCCCAAGGTGGGCAGGGTCCAATGCTTATAGGACCCCTTGTAGGGCTGGTTCTTCACTGGGAAGCATCAAGGTGTGAGTACACAGCTCATCTAATCTCCGGTTTCTCCGGGTCTGGGAGCTTGGAAGGTGGCAGAGTTCTTGGAGGACTGGAGCCCCTCCCAAGCCTGTTGTCTGTGTACCTGATCTCAGAGGCTCTCCTGATGGCCCCGTCTACAGGTCTCCAGTTTCTCCTGGTCCTAGCGGGGCTGCAGGCTTTGTAGATGACTCATACCTGGTGAATGAATGAAGTGGGAGCTGCATTTGACAGGCCTTCTGAGGAGGCCTGGGAGCTGGGACAGGCCTAGACTGGTAAGAGGGTTTCAGGTAGGCTAGTGGGAAGAGGGCGCCAGCCAGGAGCAGAGCCCAGAGCTTGAATAGCCCTGGTGGGAGGTGAGGAGTGCTATCTGGAGCAGCCTTGCTCCAGAGCACCTGGCCCACCTGGCTTTTCACCTTTCCATGTGAAGTAATTACAAATTACAAATTCCAAGGAGGTAGCAGAGGGCATCCATGGGGTGCGCTGTTCAGATGCCCCGGAAAGCCAGGTGCTTCTCCAAGCCTCCCTGGGAGGTGCAAGCACCTTGCTGGGACTGTTTTGCCTGGGAGCCACCAAGGGCCAGCCTGCTGATGGCTGGGACTGTCTTAGAAAACATCCAGGGCTCTGAGATAGAGAGGAGCGCCTTGAGCTTTCTCCACGCCACTCTGGAGCTGTGCTGGACAGCTGCTGGGAGTGGGAAAACCTGCAGGGCTAGGGCTGGGGTTCTGCTTCCCCCTGGCCTAGAAGACGGCTTCCCATTTAGCTGCTGTGGTGGGGACTAGTGGTCATGAGGGTCACACGCACCCTCTAAATGGCAGGCGGGTGGGCATGAACGCTGACATTTCAGCTGGTACCAATAAAGAGAAGATGAGGATGCTGGATAAGAAATGTCAGGCAGAAACCTGTCTGACTCCTTTGGAGGCTTGTCAGGTAAAGTTGGAGCCCATCACATAAGACAAAATACTCCGGAGTAATTTCTCCGTCCTTGGAAGTGTTGAAGCCACTGGTGGCCTCTTGGTGAGAATGTTATTGGGGAATTCAAGCAGCAGATAGCAGGACCTTGCTCTTTTAGGCCTCATATGAGTCTGTGATTGTAGGTCGAGGAGTTGGTAGGAGCCGGACACTGAATTTGGACAGAATCATAGCTTGCACTCACCTGTATGACTGCTGGCAGGTTTTAGGATTCCTTTTAGACTCAAGATGCTCATTTATAATAGGAAGAGATGGTAATAGGTCCTGCATCCTAAGGATATTTAGGGCATTTTGCTTGTTTTAATGAGATACAATTCCCATATCATAAAATTCAACCTTTGAACATGAACCGTTCAAAGGTATAGTTCCATTATCTAGTTCCAGAACATTTTTTTTCCCCAGAACATTTTCATCACCCCCAAAACGAACCCCGTAACCCCTACCCACACCCCCACCCACCCCCGCCACCAAACCCTGGGCAACCACCAGTCTATGTTCTGTTTCTAAGGGCTTACTTCACATAAGGAGAATCAAATAATGTGTGCCCTTTCGCATTGACTTCTTTCGTTCAGCACAATGCTTTCAAGGTTGTGTGGCTCTGGAATTTATGTCAGTGTTTAGCGGAGTACCTTGCACATGGCAAGTACTCAGTAAGTGCTAGTGTTTATAAAGTGCAAAGGGCAGTGAGGCGACAGCTCTGCCCATGAGCCAGCTGCAGGTGAGTATGCCGTCCACGGTGGGACCTTGCCTGTGTTGCTGCCCAAAGGCGCTCTGGGCCCTGTGAGCTTGGTGAGCTCGAGGGAAGCACAGAGGACCATGAAGACACTGCGTTTTGCCAGTCTCCTCACATTGAAATAAAAATGCCATGTATCATTGCACAGGATAGATGTAGCCATTCAAGGGAAGTTGGCAGGGAAACAGCCCTAGTACAGTGAGTCTCATTTTCTCAGTGATTTCTGCAAAATTGTATCCGTATTTCTGTATTAAGAGCACATCAGCACAGCAATTGCAGTTCCTACGTCACAAGTCTCTGAAACCCTAAACAAGAACCTCGAATGTCCTGGAGAATAGAAACTGATCTCCTGTTGGAGCTCAGAGCGACATTAATGGGCAGAGGACAGGTGAACATCCTGGCACATCTCGGTGGATGTGACTTACTGCCCCTTCTCAGCGGTGGCTGGTTCAGGGGGCAGTTAGCAGGCACTCTCTACCCTGACCTTAGGTGCTGTGTATTATGAAACCACAGAAGAATTTCAGAAATGCAGTTTCTTTTAACAAAATCTTTTAATGACTAGCCTTTACACCTGGCCTAATTTATAACTGTGAATTTCTCAGCAGTAACTGCACAAATTATTATTAAATTACTCATAAAAGATGGCACATCAACCAGCTCAAAATGTTTGTTCTCATGTCCATCCTAACGCCCAGCCTCTGGAGTCCCACGGCTGTGGCCACCTGCCTGCTGCTCTCTGCTCTGCCTCCCTCCCAGACACCCTTTTCTCCTCATGGGGAGGCAGTTTTGTTACTAGAAATGAGTCTGAGTCTCTTCCTGCTTCCACTTCTCAAATCTGGTTTCTTATGCTTCGTCTGCTCATGAATGGCTTGACTGGGTCAGAGCTACTAAGGATGCAACAGTTAAAGGGTCTAAACAATACACAGGACTCAGGCAACAGAAGCAAAAATACACACATCAAACTTAAAACCTTCTGCACAGGCAAGGAAACAAACAGCAGCATGACCAGAAAAAATATTTGCAAACCATGTATTTAATAAGGGTTATTATCTAGAATTTATAATTAACTACCCGGGGCTGAGGGCTGTCTTCCCTCGGTGGGTGTGGTCTTACATCTGTCCATCTGCCACAGCCTCGCCTTGAACAGGGGGCGGCTAAGGTAAAAACTTATCTTTGGTTTGTTTTTAGTCCAATTCCGTTCCTCTTCCAGAAAATCTTCTCCGAGCCTGGAAGCTTGCCCATGACCACCATCACCAGGCTTCGGGAGAGCTGCAGGGCCAAGCTGCTGGTGCAGGGGTGACCTGGACACACTCCCCTCTGCCCTGACCATGATGCTTCATTCCCAGAGTTGACCAATTTGTACTGCTTTCCTTTTTAGTGCTGTAAATACTTGATGTCTCCACACTTTAGTCGTGAATTTTTTAAAAGAGCAATTTAAAGTCATGTCATTCTGTAACTGATGAGCTATGAAGTCAAATTTCTGAAGATATATTTTTACCTGAGACAATAATATATAAAATGTGAGGTGTGCGTTTGTATTTAATAAAGTATGTCAACACCTATGAGTTTGTGATTGCCAGCCGACTGAAAATTAAAACCAAAACAGTAAACTGTCATTAGTGTTACTAATGCCAATTAAATATTATTCTATTCCTTTCTGTGGCAGAGCATTTACCTTCATGTAAGGTTTGTAAATGTACCAAGTGATCTCTCTTTAGAAAGGTAATTTTTAAAAAAGATTTTTAAAAATTTGATTTTTAGGTTTTTAGAGAGAGGAAGAGAGAGGGAAACATTGATGTGAGAGGGAAACATCAATCGGCTGCCTTCTGCACGCCCCCTACTAGGGATTGAGCCTGAAACCCAGGCACGTGCCCTGACCACGAGTCAAATTGGAATTTTTGGTGCTCCAGAAGACGCCCAACAAACAGCCACACTGGCCAGGGCTAGAAAGGTAATTTAAAAAAACTTGAAACCTCACTGCCTAGGTAGGCTGAACCCTGCATGGGACAGGCAGGGGCAGACAGGGACAGGATGGGGCAGGGCAGGGGGCAGGCAGGGGCGAGGGGAGACAGGTGGAGACAAAGCAGGGTCCCCTGGGAGCAGGCAAATGGGAGACGTGTGAACTCAGAAGCAGGTGGCCTGCTTCCCCAGCACCTGCCCCTCCAAGTGGCCCCAAGCTTGCCTGCCCTACTCAGCAGTGTGACCTGAAAACACCCAATTTCTCCAAAAACTGTCCTCCCACTTATCTCCATCCTCATCCCACGTCTATACTGCGATTGTGGGGAGTTTTACCCTCAAAGGGAGACACAGTTAAGGGACCTGGGTGATGGCAGCCTCGCCTGATAGCAGCACCTGGGCCACCCTCTCTCCAGCCTGGGCCATCACGGTAACGCCTCCCTTCTCCACAGCCACTGATGAAGCTGGACCTAGACCAAAACAGCACTTGAACGTCCCAATCCACTTTAGACGCTGAGCTTGGGGAGCCCTCCAAGAAACAGCCAAGCATGTGGGTCACTTGCATGGGGTTGGCACAGCTGCCCAGTGACCTCAGAGCTCCTAGTCCTGACACTTCCACACCAGCTGTGTGATCCCTAGCCTTTTGCTCCCAGGAACTGCGAGACACCCACCCTAGACAGGATGACTTGAAGCTGTACCTGATGAACCAGCGGTGGCTTTCCCTGAAAGGAACCCAGTGATGGAGGTTCCCCTTCTTGAAATGTAAGCAGCTGTGCCTCTAGGGCAGTGATGGCGAACCTATGACACGCGTGTCAGAGGTGACATGAGAACTCTTTTGATTTTTCTTTGTTAAATGGCATTTAAATATATAAAATAAATATCAAAAATATAAGTCTTTGTTTTACTACGGTTGCAAATATCAAAAAATTTCTCTATGTGACACGGCACCAGAGTTAAGTTAGGGTTTTTCAAAATGCTGACACGCCGAGCTCAAAAGGTTCGCCATCACTGTTCTAGGGCATGGTCTCAACATCCGGGCTGTCTGGGTTCTTGGGAATCTCTGCCCCTCCAGACACACACTACTTCTACACTGGCCATTTCTAATGCTCTCTAAACCCTGAAACACCTGCTAAGACCCGACCCTCAGCCAACTGCTGGTTTCTCAGTTCTGGATCAGGCATAATGTGTCTGTACTGTCCAGACTGGGGAAATGAAAATCCAAGAACCTCATGATGCACTAAGGCTGTATGTCATGACGCTGCCCGCAGGCTCTGGACCCCATCCCCAGGCAGCTTTCAGACTGCCTAACTGCAATCCTGCCGCATCTTGGTATTCGTCACATGGCCCCATACTGCTATGCTTGGTTTGAAAAGGACTGCTACTGAGTTAAGAACCACCCAGGACTACCTCAGCTATACAGAAGAAAATTTCCTCCCACCCACAGCAGATTCTGGTGTGCAGGTGGCCAGGGATACTCCAGTCCCAGGGTCACCCAGCAGGCAGGCTGCCCTCAGCCTGAGCCACCAAGGCCCAGAGATCCTTAGAGGGCACCGATCTTTGCTTAAAAGTTAAGATTAAATAAAACTTGAGCACCTGCTCTGTAAGCTCCAAGAAGGGTCCCAGGTTCGATTCCAGTCAAGGGCATGTACCTTGGTTGCGGGCACATCCCCAGTGGGAGGTGTGCAGGAGGCAGCTGATCGATGTTTCTAACTCTCTATCCCTCTCCCTTCCTCTCTGTGAAAAATCAATAAAATATATTTTTTAAAAAAGTTAAGATTAAATAAAACTTGAGCACCTGCTCTGTAAGCTCCAAGAACAACTCGCAGGGCCTGCAGCAGGACCAGATAAGGCCCATCTTCTTCCCCTCCTCACTCTCATGGAGTGGGTAGGACAACGCTATGGCTGCATTGTCACAACTGAAGACCGACCTTTAGGCACATTCATGTTCTCAAATTGCCACCAGCAGACTGGCTACACATCAGCTCTCCTAGAAGCAGGGTGGCTTGGGCAGATTCCCCACGTGCAGTTGTTATTGGCACCACTCCACCCCAGCTTACACACTGCTCTCCACCATTCATCCCGAGAGCTGACAAAAGCACAAGGTCCAGACAGAGAAAGAAAGAGACATTTTATTAGCATTGTTACGGCAATGCATTAAATGAAGGGATCCTCAGTGCACAGCCCACCCGAGCTGCAAGCGGATAAATCAGAGAGTGGAACAGATTATTGTACACAAGTGCAGACACAGGATCACCCTGAACCTCAAACAGAAGATTGAAAATCACTTTACAAAAAAAAAAAGTAAGTAAAAATAACACCCATTTTTCTATTTAAAAAAGTGCCAGCTCTTGAGTGGTAGAGCATGGAAAGACCAATCGCTTTAATGCTCAACTATGCAGCCTGTGGGGGCCAGGCCTGTCTTGGCTTCTAAAGCTTAATTTAAGCATTCCAGAGTTTCCTCTTCTGAAGTACTTCTGTCTACTAATTTATGAACTGTGTCAGTCTAACAGTTAGCCAGCCTTCATCAGTTGTAAGTGTTAAGACCAGAGAACCTCCCTTTGTAAGGCTTATATCTGAATCAAGAATGAAGAGAAACTAAACACCAGAACCTTAAAAAGTCAAATGATAGTGGAGCCAGTGCCCATTTAGAAAAGCACTCTTACCCTCCCCCCCTTAAAGATCTACTTTGGTAAATATTAACGTTTAACCAGTTAGCAAAATATTTAACCCCGTTAGCAAAATTAACACCGTCATTGCAATAGTTACTCTTTGTGCATAGTAAATGTTGCAAGATGAACTTCACATTGGATAAAGCAGATCTGAAAATCAGTTTGCAATAAAGTGTGCCTCCCTCAACATCAACCTAAGCTCAGGGAAATGAACAGAGCCCTGCAGCTTCTGCTGGTCTGCGGCCGGGCTAAATCGTCTGGTAGCCGGCATGGCTCCTCTTCCTGCCGATGAGGTAGGCGATGAGGACGATGAGGACCAGCCCTGCCAGGGCACCGCCCACGGCGATGGGGATCAGCATGTTATTCTCATCCAGCTGACATTCTTCCACTGAGGAGACAAGCGAGAACGCACCATGTGCACGTGGGTTGTCACCATGAGGACCCCACAGAGGCCTCTCCCTCCTCTCTACCTCTGCCCACCGCCACACCCAGCAGCGGAGGAGGCTCCAATTCCAATCAATCATCACTTGGAGAAGCTCCTACAGAGGCAGGGCATTCTGTGTGGCTAGGAAATTATGGTCAGTGTGCAGTCCTAGGCGCTTGGGCCCTTCTGGACACTGAACTCACCAAACAGACAGCACTTTAATATCCCAATTTAATAGGGGGAAGAGCCACACTACTTGTTAAAAGAACTGCCTTTGCTCAAATAGTGACATGCTCACAGCTGAGACATGCTGGGCATTTTGGAAGCAAGCTAATACAGGAAGGGGAATTTGCTCTAAAACTCTCTTAGGCTGGGAAAGGGAACCTGCACTCCCACCCCCTCCTTGCAACACAGAAGCTGTTAAATACCTAAACAGAACCAAAGCCTGCTGAAGCCCACTCAGAGTCTGAAACGCTGCCTTCAATGCTACTTACCAGACCCAAACTTGTCACCTTCTACCTGGAAAGCCTGGACCCACACTTTGAAAATGTTGACAGAAAAGGCCTCTGTGACCCAAATGTGCTCCTCGGCGTTGCACTTGTAGGAATTCCCCATAGTGGCCTGAAGTGCTCTCAGCGAGCTATTGGAGGCCTGGAAGGTGGGCACTGCAAAGGCATGTGAGAATTAGTGCTCCGAGACAGCAGGATGGGCAGGGGAACTGTGGGGAATCTTACCTTTGGCGTCAGGAAGAGTCATGTTCAACTGGATTTCTTTCAGAAAAAAACGGCTGGAACTCGCATTCTTAAAGAGAAGAAGATAATCCTTAACCAGTTAACAGATTCACACATTTGTTGTAAACTTTGGTAATAAATTTGATCTATCATAGTTCTAAGCTTTAGAATGAAACTGCAGAGTATCATGTCTGTAAAAGGCATCATATAAATATCAAGAACACAAATTCTGATTAGTTCCTTCCAGATCTTCTTACATAATTAGATTTTCTGCTAAAAGGACTGAGGAAGCCTTACTCTAAAAAGGTAAACTCTGCTCCCCCACCCCCCAATGTTTACTGAGCTTGAGGAAAGTTAAACTTTATTATGAGAAACCCAACTGTTAAACAGTTCACCAGCATAGTGCATTATAAGTATTCATAAGTTGTACTTCTATTCTTCCCATATTTAACTTTCTGTATGATTCTTCCTAGGCAGGTATGAAGAAAAGAGGTACAGCCCTGACCGGTTTGGCTCAGTGGATAGAGCGTTGGCCTGCAGACTGAAAGGTCCCGGGTTCGGTTCCGGTCAAGGGCATGTACCTTGGTTGCGGGCACATCCCCAGTAGGAGGTGTGGAGGAGGCGGCTGATCGATGTTTCTCTCTCATCGATGTTTCTAACTCTATCCTTCTCCCTTCCTCTCTGTACAAAATCAATAAAATATATTAAAAAAAGAAAA